GGATCGGGTACTTCAACTCGACGCTCAACCCGCTGATCTACGCGTACTTCAACCGGGACTTCCGGGAGGCGTTCCGCAACACGCTGCTCTGTCTGTTCTGCAACTGGTGGAAGGATCGCCACCTGCCGCTGGACATCGACATCCGGCGCTCCAGCCTGCGCTACGACCAGCGGGCGAAGAGCGTCTACTCGGAGAGCTACCTCAACTCGACGACGCCCTCGCATCGCCGCCAGTCGCAGATGGTGGACAACTTATAATACAGGGATGAGGCGCTGCTGACCCCCATCGCCCAGCAGCAGCAGCGGCTGGCGGCGGGCGGATCCCGCCTGGGCGGACAATTGGCAGCTGCCGCCAAGGATCACAGGGAACCGAAGGAGGCCAGGGATGCGGGCAAGGGCAAGGGCAAGTCCAATGCCGATTGCTTGGCGGGCGACGATGTGCAGGAGATCCAGATTGAGATACCCATGGAGTACATCAACAAATGGAACAAGAACAACAATGCTGCCGCCTCGACGGCCTCGAGTCATGTGTAAATGGTGCTCGGGGATGCGAATCAATCGATGGCAGCCGGATGGGTGGAATCCATTTAATGCAATTAAATTGTTCCATTAATTTGTAAAATTAATATGCCGGCAAATGCGTCGGCTGATTTACTCGTAATGTTGACATTAATCAATCTGTGAAGCGTGCCATTTCATTTGCCCCGTCACTACTTTTTTTTCTTTTTTCATTTTTGTTTTCGTTTTTCAAACATTTTCAATCTGAATTCGAGTTGTTTGGGTTCCTTGAGGCACAGATCGGAACTTTGTACAGGATAACTTATTTATTTATGATTTCATGCCGTTTGTATCTTGTTGTAAATACTGAGTATTTTTGTACGACTAAATTAAGCACAGGTTGTAAACTCATTTCTATATATGGATGTGTATATGTATGTACGTACGCCAATCGAAAATCTGTTAGCCGTAAAGCATTTTGCTCACGAAAAGAAATAACCACAAATAAATTATTTAAAATGGCAATCACTGCAACTCACTGAGCTATGCGTATACATAGGGATTCGCAAAAACGAAGAGCTAAAGCTAAAGCTAAAACTAAAACTTAAAATTAAACTGAAACTTAAACTAAAACTGTGCCAATTAAGAGACCGCAAATTATAGACAACTACGTGAGACGTCCTGCAATGAAGAGGAGATTTTCCCAGCGCGAAAAATCAACCACACCCCAACGCAATTAGAATCAGAGAAAATTGAGAAATTTATAGAGACACAACAAAAGTCACGGAAGCTAAAGCAAAGCTAAAACCCAATTGTTATTTCAACGACAATCGCATGAATTGAAAATGCTCAAAATAAGTAAACCCTAAAAAAACGTATAATCAACTAAACATAGCGAGAATATATAGTCAAATCCGTATAAGTAGGACCCTTGGCGATCGGTCAAAACCAAAAGCCAAAGTCCGCCTAAATTAACCAACATATAGTGCATCGATATCAGACTAACCAATTACGTGTGTGTGTGTGCGAGCGTGAAACCGATTTCCACAACCGCTTCCATAAGTGCTAGTGTCGAGTTCAAAGGTCAGGAGTGAAAGTGCTTCGGTTAATGGGTGATTGCGTTGCAGTTCCTGGAATTAAGTTGACTGTGTAGCCTGTGAGGGCAAGGCTTGAGTACTGCTTCTGAAGTCAGCAACTTGATTCCAGCAATTGCGGCCCAATATTCCGCAACAATGAAAAATCCGGAAAAGCCATGGAAAGAATCGCAACTTCCTCGAATTTCGGCTGGCAAAGGCAATGGTAATGCAAATAAGCCGAATAGAAAAGCCAAACACGCAAACAAAGCATTTTGTGTTCTTTGTATAAATAACTAACCATAAAATCTTAGCAACAGTTTGCAAAACTTACCGATTTATGATTGTCTCTTAATCCGCAAACGAAGCAGAAAGTCAAGAACATTTGTCAAGCAAAAATAGTTGTTGTTCAAACAAAATAATAGGAACTGTTTTTTATGATTTTCCAAGCTAGTCTGAAACTAAATAGGAAATTATATTGTTGCCATGAATGGAAAACAAGGATAAAGAGCCAAAGCTCAGCATGTACCATATAATGTGTGTATAAATAGATGTCTAGATAAATGTTATATTTATAGTAAGTATTGATTAGATGACTTTCCTTGAAAAGATGACCGCAAACAAACCAATCTCCAAAGGACTTGTTATATTTTTATAAGCCACAGCCCCCGAAAACTAATACTCTACGTGTAATTTGTATTTGTATTTGTATATTGACATGTCTGTTTATATGTGTGTGCGAGTTATTTATTATCGTTATTATTATGATTATTATTATTACTGGCAACAGAACTTTTCGTTGCATTGTTTTGCATTTTGCTGTGCAATTTTCCATGCAAAACAGAATAGGATCCTAACATTAAGCCAAGTTGACAAGCAAATCTAGCCTCGAGTGGGCGAGACACGTAAATGGCAAACTAAGCTACTAAGTAAGTGAATATGAAATTTAGATGTATTATAAAAGCAAAATAACAAACTTCAAGTTGGAAAACAAGCAGAAAAAGCAAAAATAAATTCAAAAACTACAAATAATGGCCAAACGAACTTGTTTTTCTCATTCTCATTCCCATTCCCGTACCGCAGCGAGCTGCTGATTACCCAGGACCAAGTTCGGAACAAACTGAAAAGTAAATAAAGTCCGGGTCGGACCCAAATTACCCGGTCCACATCGAGGTACATTAACAGCATATTATCGGGCCAGAAGTAAAGCTGATTACTGCCGGCGACAGTTGTAAACTTCTAAATAACTGTCAAGTCTCGACTTCGACTGACAAATTAAGAATTTGTTCCAAAAGCCCCGTGGCAACGTGGCCGCCTCGGCACACGCGTCGAATGAGTGATTTTTATTTGGCAATGCGTGTGTAATTTAACCGGCGTCATGGCAATGATATAACCAAGCTCCACAGCCTGAATTATGTTGCCCCCCTCCGAATTACTTTCGAAAAGTAATTTATCATGGAGTCCTGCTCTTGAAGAGGGCAGATCAGTTAGCACGCTTTAAATGCCGGAACAAACGCTCGGCGGCACCTGCAAGTTGAAGTTCTTGCCATTTCATAGGGCTCTGTATATTAAATTTATTTTGCAAAAGGTGACACACACCACATCGAAAAGTTGACCTGCACAAGTTTAAACGACACACCTGCCCTTGCAGCACGGCGTAAACTTTTTCATCAAAAACTCATAAGGAAAAAACAGGTAGTGGCTGTGTTTATTTAATTTTTTGTATATTGAAAATGTTCATAATGTGTGCAACAAACGTATAAAATTGATCGGATGGCTATTTTATCCCATTTAATTTATCCAATTATTTTAATTGCTTTTCATTTGATTCCAAGGATATAAATTACTAACTTAGCAGTAAAAAAGTAACCTTTCCCCGTTGACCAAAGCTTAAATACTGCTGGCTATTTACTTATTTACTTAGGAAGTCAATTATTTTTACTACATTTTTCAAGCCATTTTTCAGAGGAAAATGTTAAATACAAACATTTTTGTTTCGAAAATAACAAACATACAGTCAAAGCAGATGAATTAATTCCGCTTCGGAGGCGAGTCAAATGTAATAAATTTGCTCCACATTGTTCAATATTAAAGTACGGACGCTGGGGTAATTTTTTTAGTATATTTTAGAGGCCGCAATGCCTTGAGTTATTTTTTAAATTAGACGCCGCGAGTGCCACTGAATTTGGCATCATAAATGCGGCCCAAAATCAAACTCCATTCATCAAAGTCAGCCATGGATCCTAGAGGGCACCCACTCTCCACTCGGAGCCACTAAGTGAGTGATGCACGATGGCATCGGGGCAATCATCGCTCATAAGGCCCGCCAATTTGGCCGTGACAAGTGATAGACATGCGCTTCTTAGCGCCAAGAAGCCAGCAGCAGAGGGCAACCAATGATGGGTGCCTTATGGCCTATCAGCATTTCACATTTCAATATTTAAAGGAGACAATAAGGCCGAAGGACCTGCACCTTATCAGACAGTCCGTCACTCGGTGCGTCACTTAAAAAGCCAACAGAACACACAACACAAACACACAACAGAACACACAACTGTCACTGACAGGAGCGGCGCTAAATCAAATTGCGTTGCCGTAGTTCTACCTCGTATCTACATCTACATATTTATATCTTTTTTATGAAATTTTAATAACTCTGACATGTGCGGGAACAAGCTCGAAGCCGGCATATTGCTATCGTCAGCTGTTGTTGCTGCTGCTCCTCCTTTGCTCCTCCTTTGCTCCTCGTTTGCTCCCCCGGTGATTTAAGTCCTTGTTGTTGTTGCATGTTGTCCTGGCCCACCCATTTGTTGTTCCCTTTGCTGTTATCGTGTGATTTGCACGACACGAACACGCGCCGAAATAACAAATCTTTTTTAGATTTACTCACGCATTTTTGGCGGGGTGCCATCAAAATATTTTTATTACAAATGCAAATATTGACGCCCTGCATTGAAGTGGGCGGTTGGTACTCTATAGTAGTGCTGACTTGAGCGCCTTGGGGGTTTTTCTTCTTTTTTCTAGTTGTGCGGCAAATTCGGCACTTTTGGGGTGGTTGGGTGCTTAAAAAGGGGGCTGTGGGCTGGCTTGACTGGGGGTAGATCAGCTGTTCAGCGGGTGGCTTGCTACAGGGTTGCTCAAAAGGTATTGAAGCAAGGAAGCTAAGTAAGAAGGAAATACGCCAGCAGTTGGTGCCCCGATAGGTATGCTACAAAATATATGGATTAGCCTCCCATCCACAATATTTAAGCATAAGTTACATAAGTTAGTTGAATTTTACTGTTACTACTTTGCCGTGCAACTCTGTTTGCATTCGAAATATCCTTTTCCCGCCAATTCACACTGCGCAGAAGCGCTCTTACTTGAATTCGCCGCGTCCTGCGTTGGTTTGCCGCCAAAGGACTTGGCCCGATTTCTTGGCCAAGACTCAGTCAGTGGCCAGTTACCAGAGCAGGCGCTCATCGCCACGGATTGCTGCCCCACAAAAAAAGGCCAAGAAAGGCCTGCGAGCCAGCAATAAATACAAAAACCACAACGAAAGCCAATTGAAACCTGTGGCCACTTGTCACAAATCGTAGCCGAAAGTGCCAGTGACAGTTGTGCTCATACATACTTGGCATCTTTCACATGTGGTAAACAAAAAGAAAATAAATTCATATACCCTCGTATATACATACATCTTGAAAAACCGGCTGGACAGTGAAATTCGCGTGTGCGTGTTTCGATTTTGCGGCCCTACAAAAACCGATACGAAACTCCATTTATGACTGCCGTAAGTCGTAAGCCCTGAGTTTGTGGGTCGTCTTGTACGTGTTTACGTTACACTTTATATATATACAAAAAATAAAAATAAATACAAAAAATACAGGAAAAACGTGCGGCAAATTGCGGGAAACTCATTCCTGGCATGGGTATAGAAATCAAAAAGAAATTCCATTTTAACAAATCGATTTTGGGTGTTCTTTTTCTTATTCGAGAGCGGACAGCAATATAAATAGAACCGCGTTTCGTGGAGCTAATGACAAATTAAATTGTGGGCACACACCCAGAAAAAGGAAGGAATAGGGAATATCTCAAACATCGAAGGCATTAAAAAATTACGAACCGCGCGTGTTTAAAAGTTTGCGCTGTTATCAACAAAAAAAAAAACAAAAAAAGGCAACAATAACAACAAGTAGCAGAGCATTAACAATAAACTGCGATAAAAGCAACAGACAAACGGGAAAAGTTTCATTATTTCGGTGAGTCGCGGTGGCAAGAGCAGCAGGCAAATCAGGAAGGACAATGAAGGCGACGCGCCAGGGGCGCTCATCCTGCCAATCCTCCGGCTCCGGCCATTCCACCGCTCATCATCACCAGGAACGGCGGACATAGGGCGCGTGTTGAGCAAGTAAGCAAACAATATAGAACTTCTTCTCCGCCACACCGCTGCACGTGAAAAGTACAAAGCGGCAAGGAAATGCTGGAAAAGCACACACAAACACACACTGAAACAGAGGCACACGGAAAACAGAGAGCACATTGGGCGCCATTTTTAGTGGTTACGTAAACTGAAAGTGCTGTCTAGTTAAGCGGCGAGCTCTGTCGGGGTCACCATCGTCACCATCGCCACCAGGCAACCCCGCACCCATCAGCAGGCATCTCCCTATCGCCTTGCCATCCGCCTGCCTTTTTTAATAAAGTTGAAATCCTTAGTTGGCCGACACTTTAAATATGTACATATTCCGCCGTCGGCCTTTCCAAGCTCAACTCCTCTTCCAGCCTGCCACCAGCTGCCCAGAATGTCCGGGTTTTTCTGGGAGGTCTCCTAATGATACAAATCGCACAATGAACAGTGGTTAAAAACTCACTAGACAATTTACTATTCCAAGCAATTTATTTTATTAGCTTTGAGTCTGAAGTCTGGCATCTGGCGATTAAGATAATCGTAAAAGTCTTTGTTTCCAGCGAGCTTACCACGGTAATCACATTTTGGGACAAGGTCTGCGTATCAAGTTCAAGAACACAGGGCCATATTGTTGGCTATCTTGGTGTGAGTTAATTAGCATAAAGCTAAAGATAAACTAGTTTTTTGCAGGGCAATGAAAAATAGTTTGTGTATTGATATAACTATTGGAGTAAATGACATTTATTGATGCTGTTTCCTGTTTTCAGCTTTCGTTTCGCACCATTTACTATCACATTTTATACGAAACACGTTTATTGCTGTAGTTTATTAAGGTAGCTCCTTTCTACCCGACTTGATGCGCATTCAGATAATATTTTTTGTAGCAACCAGCGACATATATCCGTGCCCGCTTCACTGCTCCACAACAATTTTTCATTGCATTTCTGAAACACAATTTCCTCTCGTTAGTTTTCCATTCTCGTATCACAGTGCACATAGTGCACAGTGTGCCATTTGCCGCCAGTCGAGTTTATCCACTGAGTTGGCTTCTGTTGCTGATGCTCCTGTTCCTGCTCTTGCTCCTCCTGCTCGTGGTGCTCCTGGCGCTGGGTCAGGTCAGGATGCCATTTGGCATTTGCCACTTGATTCGCTCAGCCGAGGGCACTGCGCCCAACCCAATCCCATTCGAATTGGACCCCCGAGTGTCTCACCTTTGGCCACCAGCCTTTTGGCCTTTTCCGCATTCGTGAATGAACTGGCTGGCTAGAAAAGCCTCTGGGTTTTGCGAAGGCGACTAGCAGCACGCCACCTGAGTCTGGCTATCGATTTTCTTCACCTGCGATTTTCACCTACGAGTGCACTTGCATTTAATTGAAATTCGGGCCGGGCCGCCTTTGAAATCAAATTTAGCAAAATCCCAAAAGTTCTCTGGCAATTGCTTGCGAACTCTGTTCGTTCTGTAAATTGCACAAAGTTTTTTACTCAGCTTTCTAAGCTTTGTGCAGATGGCGAATACATTTTATGAAATAACATTGAGTCGGAGAAATCTCATGCAATTTATAGGTTTGAAAATTCCCACGAAACGGATATGCCATTTAAAGTATTAATATCTTATAGAACGCAGATTTACAAGCTAATGGAGCTGAGCATCTTGTCCTTAGCCTGTTCCTAGTCAATATTTATTATTTAAGTAATATTTTGTGTGCTTTTTTGCCCTCTTCAAGGACTTCCAAGGACTACTTTTCTCTTAGTGTCGTTGGGAACTAAAATGACACACGGTCCACACGTACAAGCGCAGACAGATAGACAGTTGGATAGAGGAGGTGGACTAGTGACTGACGGCGATTGTCATGCACAAATTGAAACTTTTCAAGTTACGCTCGAAAAAGTTTGAATTCAACTAATACAGTCGAGTTTCAGATTGTTTGGTCATACATGCGTATGCTCGTGTATGGATGTTTTATTTGCTGGAAACTTTCGAATGGCTTCGAGTTCAGTGGGACTCTGATTCTGATTCTGATTCAGATTCAGAATCTGAGTTTGTTTCTATTTTTGTTTTTGTGTGCAAAGTCTGGAAAGACCGTTACCCATGCCGAGTGTAAGACAATACGGCAAATGGCCTTAAAGCCGGCAAATATTTGCACATAAATGTTTTAAATGTAAATGCCTTCATTTATTCGGGCAATATCTCATCAGTGAGCCACCGAAGGCATCTCGAATGTCTCCCAATAAATGGCTGGATGAATGATGAATAGAATGAATGCCTTGAGCCATTTTAGCATGCCATTGTTGTTCCGATTGGCGTGTCTGTTTGTCTGGATTTAGCCGTAAGCTAATCAAATTCATAGCTGGCGTAATGATGCGATTTGTACGAGATTTGAATGCTTTGATTGAAAATTGAATTAAGGAATTGAATGTTGTCAAGCGATCGGAAGATACATTCTCAGTACCATCAACAGAAAATCATTGCACCGACACTTAATATTTGATTTTCAATTATCAACATTCTGTGCGAGATTCCTGGTAATGGGTTTTATTAACCGCAAATTGTTCGCACTTTGCTGCAACTTTGGCTTGACAATTTCGTTTGAGAGATGACCACAAGTCTTGTATTTCATATTGCACAGCAATTGCAGTCGGATCGATGAGAAGTTTAATAAAAACATGTCAAGTGCACAAGCCAAAAGCAGATACAAAGTGCAAAATGGGTAGAATGAAATAACCACAAAAAGCAATCAGAGCAGCAAAAAGAGCTTAATTCGAAAAAGTGTTTCTCCGATTCCTCCGACTCTCCCCTCTGTGCAATCAGTTAAGCAAATATTTACAACCGAAACCGGAAATACGCTCAAGAAAGCATTTAAATCAGTTTCGCATTTTCCCGGCGCGCTCGTCTGGAAATGGAAATGGAAACTCGCACAGTCGTCCGTTTTCTGCATATTTTATTGCCCACTAAATGCCATGAATGATATTTGCCTTTGACTTAACTCTCGCAGCGGCAACAGCAAAAGTTGCAAATTAATAATATTAGTGCCAGCGATTCCCATGCCCCATCCCCCATCCCCCATTCCCCATTCCAGCCACTGCCTTTTGTGGTCTTCGGTCGTGAGCAAGGACGACAATGGCGGATTGGCGGCTCAACGCTTTTCTCATTAGGACAACTTCCGCCGAAGCTCCGGCTGAAATGGGCTGGTGGTCCCGGGCAGCAGCCAAGATGGCCATAAAGCCCCAAGAGCTGAAGCCCAAGATGCCACAACTCACGGGCAAACGGCCGTTGCCAGTGTTTATGTCATTAAGTGGCGCTCGACATCCCAGGACATCTGGGTGAGTTTGCTCGGAAGAGTGTGTCAAAGTGTCTCGCACCCTACTTGTGTCCCAGGAATTGTTCCACTTTGTGTTGCGCCCTTTGGAGCGGATTATTGTTTATAATATTGTAATGTGGCAAAGCCAAATAAAGTGGAATGCTGGCAATGCAGGTCGTGGGTCAATGGAGGAGTTGGGATTGGTGGCGAAATCCAGGAAATTAGCTCTAAGAACTGACGAATACGAAGATTCGTTTTGCTAATGGGCTTTTCCTCCCGTTTTCTTCGTAGCTAAAGTGGTAGTATATTAACGATTCAGGCTTCAGGTTTAATCTAAACATGAGTATACTTTCATCTCTTATCCTGTCAGCCACAACCTTCAAAAATGTAGGGTAAAATTCCTAAAGAGGATTCTATGCATATTCAGGATTAGGGCCAGCAAATGACTGAAATATAGCCCACAGCCAGTTCAAAGTCACTTACGGAAATCCTGCAGCGAGTCAACTTTTCGGGCGACCCTCTCTTCCAGAGCTTCCTAAGTATCCTTCATTCGACATGTTTACTTTGCACTCGCCCTACTCCCCCTCAGCCGTCCCTTCCAGCATTGAAAGGGCTCTCACTTAACTCTACACTACACTTGAAACATAGAAATAAAATATTTACAAAATTTTAAGATATATACAGGATATTTAAGATATATTTTAAGTAAATACTCAGACTAACATTATGCAATGCTTAAATAAGTTCTGCGTTTATTTAAATTTGGCAAAATTCCATCTTACACCATTTCTATTCGTTATCACTAACAGATAACTAGATGCACAACAATTTTAACGAAATTAAATAAAGTAATATAAATTTAGTCTAAGAATGTTTCCAGCTGATCTAAAACTAGCACTTAAATATCTCACAATTCAAAATACATTTTTCTACACTTTCATATCAGCACACTTGCGCACAATATGTGAATGAATAAATTAATAGAAACATAAGAATTCTTTTCCGTGTAGACGGTTTTTGTCTTGCCACCGTTGGCTGGCCTGCAACTGTAGAAACCGTTGAGAAAGCCTTTTGTGTGTTAGTTAAAGGTTCAGTGTAGCCGGGCTCCTGCCCTTTTTCCTTCCCAATACATTTTTTTTGGGCTTAGCTTTCGTTTTTTGTATTGTGTCGAGGGAGGACTCTCTTTGCCCGGGTCCTTCGATGGCCCAATGGGCCTCGCCTGTCGGCCTAGGCCTTTGTCTCTCAGGCGTTTCCATTTTTTTTTTTGTACTCTCCCCACAAAACTCCACACGTATATTATTTATGCTATTATTGATTTTATATGTGGGTTCGATAGAGTCGACTCCGTGCCCGGGACTCGCCCACTGGGAGCCACCGGGGGAGCTCCAGTCGCTGCAGATTAACGTGTCGCCATTGCCGGGCACAAAATGAAATCATTCTTCAGCGAAATTTATGGCCAACTTCGCGAGCTCATCAACTTGCCTTTGAGCCGTGCAATTTGTACGTTTCGGCCGACAAAGAGAAACGAAAATAATGAAAAACGCTAGACAGTGAAAGTTACTGGCTTGCTTTTCTTTCAATTTATTTGGTGAACACGCGGCGTATACGCAACGTCAACTTAGTTGCGGCCTGCAAGGGACAAAAAAGTAACCTCAATGCGGTCAACACAGTTTCTTAGCCGGGCCAGCGAGTTTTTGCCTCATT